ACATCTCCCGGCTGGGCATGCAATGAAGCCACTTGGGCCAGAATGAGACGTTGATCTGTCCTGTGACTTACTGAGTCCTGGCTTTTCACTCTGAGCCTTTTGGGCTGATAAATTCCCAGGAACCAAAACTAGAGCTGGACCAAGGGCTTTTGAATATCCAGTCCATAAGATATGTGAATGGAAATTAAAATGATTTTTTTTTTAGGTCAGGGACCAAAATTGGGCCCAACTCTTACATATACCTGCAAAAAGATCATCTGATTCTTTGCATTTTTAAAAGTGCCCAACTCGTAGACTATTGTAGAGAACAGCTACTGTGGTGGTCACTTTCCCCGAGTCACACGGGCTCCACTGAAGCTTTTCCCTCAGGCCTGCAGGCCTCTGAGCCACCCAGATATCTATTGATTATGGTGGGAACTGAGGTTATTATCGCTTGGTCACTTCCCTCACTTTCAAGATAAAATTAATAACTAACAATGACACAGCACCCTGTACTTAAAAAGCACTAATACTGAGTACCTGTCAGATCTTCCCCCTTGCCCAGGCTACTTCTTCCTAAGCACATCTGGGGAGGGCTTCCCACATCCTAACTCGTTTTTCTCACTAGTTGGGATACATGCAGTTATCAGCAGTTTGAGATAACTCTATAGGCACATGAAGATGAAGGATGGCAGCCCAAAGTCTAGCAAAGTCTTCGTCTGGTCTGGAGATCTTTCTGGGGGCCAGGGTAGAAGCCAAGGCTAGGGTCTTCTTTCTTACCCGGAACTCCCACTAATAAACTCTCAGCACAGCTAGCAATAAGCCACGAGGACTTCATATATATGTGCCAACTTTCAGTTTTGAATTTCATTTGAGATTTGACAATTAAGCCAGCCAATTGCTATGGTAAGAAATTCCTAAGGTTTCTGGGCCTTCAAAACTAAAATCAAAACTATCAGAAAGCTAAAATTAGTTTTATTATTACAAAGCTAAAATTGATCTCAACAGTCTCCGAGAATGAGCTCTCTTCTCAGACTGCCCAGGTAGATGGGCTGGAAATGAAGTTCCAAGCAGTCCCCTGATCGTACCCAGTGATTCTTCTGCTGCAGAAAAGCCATCAGGTTTGTTTGCTGTGAGCCACTGGACCTGCCTATTCCAGGTCAAAAAGTCCAGGCCAAAGTACAGCAAAGCCAACCACTGTTCTATCTGATAGGAGGGGAGCAAAACAGAGTTTAGGCCATGGATCCCAGGCCCACTTTTGTGGGCATTGAAACAATCATTTGTTGTCCCCAAATACGTCACTGGAAAGAGCTGCCAAACATCCCTCTGGGAGCAAGAGTGATTCATTGACAGAGGTCAGAATGTTGTTCTGACAACAGACCTCTGGAGAGTTTCCAGTACTCGTCACTGGAAAGAGCTGCCAAACATCCCTCTGGGAGCAAGAGCGATTCATTGACAGAGGTCAGAATGTTGTTCTGACAACAGACCTCTGGAGAGTTTCCAGTACTGGTGAGAAGTTAAGAGCAGGGCTTGGGGGCTTTAGTGCAGGCTCCCCCACTGTTTGCCCAGCACACACTAGCAAAAGGCAGGTCCCTTCATACGTCCAGGCCTCACTTACTCCTCTGTTAAAAGAGGACATGACACTTCCGTGGGATTGCTGTGGGGATTAAGTGGTGTAAGTGATGCAAACCACATTGAACTCTGCCTGCGTATGCTCAGTGCCTATAAAATATTAGCTCCTATTATTAACTTTGTACTTGATTTTGTTCCACAGTCTCAGGTACTTTCATATTCTACACAAGTCTCACATCCCCTTCCCCATACACGCCCCCTCCCTTTTTCCCACCACCTAGGCAGAAGTGGAAACATTCCCCAGAAGTCCATTGATGTATGAAGCAAATGTCTCCTAAGGAAGGGCCCACTTCTCCCTAGGGAGGGATGACCATAAAGAATATCATGAGCAATCCTCTCATTCGATAGCTGAGAATTTCAGATCTAGGGAGCTCAAATGACTGCCCACGGTGGCACAGCCACTGACACAGCTGCAACTAAAATGCAGGTGTCCAGACTCCTAAGGCAGTGCCTCTTTTCCACACTTGGTGGCCACCCCACCATTCACAAGGAAATAATGTAAGGCCCACAGAATGTGTTCACATCAACCCCCTCTCCCTCACTCCCACTCCAAAGTCAGGATACACTTTCTTCTCAGGTAAACCAAAAGGGTTGTTTCTGGATCTGCATTTTTCTCCACCACCTGTGAAAAAAATGAAAGAAAAATATATCAGAGGTCCACTTAGTGATCCTTCTGCAGTTAATTTCTCCCCTCAATGTCCCATCCAAGAATTTGTAGTGTTAATGGGAATGTGCTAAATAGATCATGAAAATTTAGGTATTTTCTTGGCAATTCCATAAGAATGAACATATTAACTGCAAGGCAGACTACATACATGATCACGTCCTTAAATTCTAAAATTCTAACTTAGTGCTCAGCTGTGGACCCACCCCGCAACATTCTGGTGTTGCCCCTGCCTTGCTGGGCTGACCAAAGCAAAGCCCCCTTTAAATCAAAAATGTCATCTTATTTCTACTACTGGATCACTCCTGTGAACACCAGGAACATCTGAGAGGGTAGCACTCGGGTCTCTGGCTTTGCCTCCTTGGGTGCACACTCTCAGACCCTGTGTGTGACTGTAGAAAGCCGATCAGTTAGCTTGTGCTCATAGCGGAGTGTCCGCTCATATGATGCACTATCACAGTCAACAATAACACATGTCAGAAATGGAGGAGAAATCTCAAACCAAAGATCCATCG